GATGGCCCCCCCCGTCTCCCCCATGTATTTATCGATGAATCATTGATTATCCCCTATCCCCCCCCCCCCGGCAGGACCTCCCCTCCGTTCGTTGTGCGACTCATCGAAACGGAAGTCAGTCACAGCGAGTGTTCCCGGACAACGACGACGGGGAGAGGGGGGGCAGTTGTGACTGGGAGACACCGCACGCACCACCCCGGGAACCACCAGGACCACCACCACACCCACACCCACCACCTTTCTCCCTCATACCCCCCCCTCCCCCCCCCCCCCCAATCACCATGGCTGACGTGTCGGGCACAGGCAAGAACAGCAAGGTGGCGCCGCAGAAGGAGATCTACACCTACAATGCGCCGTGGTCGACGTACGGACTGGCGTGGTCTGAGCGGGAGGACCGTCCGTTCCGACTTGCCGTCGGCTCGTTTGTGGAGGAGTACTCGAACAAGGTCGAGCTCATTCAGCTCAATGATGCCAAGACAAAGTTTGAGTCGCAGGCTATGCTCTCCCATCCCTATCCCACCACCAAGATCATGTTCAACCCGCACCAGGACTTTGATCGTGATCTGGTGGCCACGACCGGTGACTACCTCCGTCTGTGGAACATCGTCGAGGGCCATGAGCTCTCTGGCAAGCCCAAGATGAAGATGCTCAAGCTGTACAACAACAACAGGAACACAGAGTTCTGCGCTCCCCTCACCTCGTTCGACTGGAACCGCCACGAGGCCAACATTGTCGCCACCTCCTCCATCGACACCACCATCACTGTGTGGGACCTCGAGCGGGAGAAGGCCCTGACACAGCTCATTGCCCACGACAAGGAGGTCTACGATGTCTCTTTTGGCCGTGGCGCCCTCGGTCCGCACGTCTTTGCCTCGGTCGGCGCAGACGGCTCCATCCGCATGTTTGACCGCCGCCAGCTCAAGCACTCGACCATCGTGTTTGAGACCCAGGGCAATGTTCCGCTCCTCCGCCTCTCGTGGAACATCCAGGACCCCAACTACCTGGCCACCATCACCATGGACTCGCCTGAGGTCTCCATCATCGACATCCGCGTCCCCTCGCTCGCCGCTGCCCGCCTTGGCGGCCACTCGGCGGCCGTCAACTCGGTCGCATGGGCCCCGCACTCCTCGTGCCACATCTGCACCGCAGGCGACGACCGCCAAGCCTACATCTGGGACGTCTCCTCCATGCCCGCCACCCTCACCGAGCCCATCCTCTGCTACACCGCAGACGCCGAGATCAACCAGCTCCAGTGGTCCGCACAACACCCAGACTGGATCGCCATCGCCTACAACGACCAGATCCAAATGCTCCACGTGTAGTTGTCGAGCGCTCAACCGTCCCTCCCTCCCTCCCCATCCACACTTTGCCCGTTTAAAAAAAATTGTCTCCCCGCCGCCCGGCCCTCCCTTCTTCCCCCTCCCTTCTCTTCCTTGACTACGTCGCCTGCTTGCCAGCCGCCGGTTGCCACCCGCCGCCGGTTGCCAACCGGCCACTCACGGTTGGAGCAGCCATACTTGTCATGGTGCGCATACGGGGTATACCGTCACTAGCAGTGGTGGTGGCGGTGGTGGCAGTGGCAGCGGCAGCGGTGGTTGTCGACGGGAAGCTGCAGGGGCGTGCCGGCGGTGGCTCCCCGTCGACGAGCAAGACTCTGGCTGTGGCCCGGGCGGCGTTCCTGCCGTCGCTGCGAAGCGCGACTCAGTCGATCTTTGCTGCTCCGCCACTGACGCCGCTGGGGCTAGCCCGAGCGGGATCATCTGCTGTACTTGCGGCGCCAGGCGTGGCCGATGTGGTCAGGGTAGAGCTCCGCGAGCTCGCCAGCGATCCGACTCTGGTCGTCGATCGCAACACCCGCCTCGTCCCCGTCGAGCTCGACTCGGGTGCGCGCTACCTCTGCGCTCTGCCGCGGACCATGGCATTTCCCGAACAGCTGGCGGCGGCGCTCGATGGTGCTGATATAGGTCAGTTGGCGAGCGAGGACGCGGCGCAGGTCGAGTCCGATGACGCCGCCGAGGCCGAAGCCGCGCCTGCGGTCGTGGTCAAGGACAAGGACAAAGTCGAGGGTGAGGCCGACGACGACGAGGGGAGCCTGCTCGAGCGATGGGGGCTGTCGGCTGCGGACATCGAGGCTGTTCTCGCGCCGCTGAACGGGCGGTGCCTGCTCTACGAGTACGGCTGGTGGAAGTACAAGCTGTGCATGGGCCGGTATCTGCGGCAGTGGCACGACTCTGCGCAAGACTACAAGCTCGGAGTGTACAACGCGGACGAGAGCGCCGAAACGCAACTCGCCGAGGTCGAGTCGCATCTTGACTCTGCGGCGCTGCGCGGGGTGGATCCCGCTACGGCGCTGCCCGGGCTGTGGAAGCCCTCGTACCTGACGCAGATCTACGACTCGGGCACTGCGTGTGACGTGACCGGGCAGCCGCGGCGGACCGAGCTCGTCTTCTCGTGTAAGCCATCGGTGCCGTCGGCGTCGCTGGCGCACATTGAGGAGCTCCGGACGTGCGAGTACCGCATCCGCATCCATACCGCCCTCGTTTGCCGGCCGCGGTCAACCGAGGAAACCGGAAATGGGCGGCTCGTGGGATCAGAGCCGGCTACTCCAAGCACCACCCGCATCCGCACCATCCGCTGTGCGCCCGTGGAGACGGTCGCGTAGCAACCTCCTTCCCGCGGTTCGCAGCCTGCGACTTCACTCTGTCGACTTGTGGCCTCTCTCCACACAGAACCCCGCACACGTGCAACTCCCATTCCTCCACTTGCACCTCAACATACTTCATCAACTCCACTCACATCCGAGCCACCCCTTTGTACCATCGCCTCTACCCATGCCTGTCAAGCGGCCAATAAGCCTGCAGATGGTGATGGCGGAGGGTGGGGGAGGGGCCGGGGGAAAAAATATAATGAAGAAAAACCCCTTCTCTTCGTTGCGGAACGAAGTCAGCCGAGGCACGCGCAAGAGAGGACATGCCACAGGAGTGAGGGGCAAGAGCGTCGAAGTGGGGGGGGTAGTGTTGAAGAGAGCACATCCCACTCTGTTGTGTGCGTAGGATGTCCGACGACAGACTGCGTCTCCTGCGGGAGCAGTTTGCGCCTATTTTCACCTTTTTCGACATACCCGTGGACGGGAGCAAGGACCGTAGGTGGCGTGGGGGGGGGGAA